GGACTTCGCAGATGCCTTGCTCGAGGCGTTTCGAACTTGGGGATCCCGGGGCGACTTGGCCTTGAACAGTACAGGCCAAAGGACAAAAAACACGCGTGCCTCCATTTTGCAGCCAGGTGATTCTTCCATGGCAGAGATCCAGGCCTCAGACTTGCAGAAAGAATCGGGAGTGGGTGACAACGAGGCGAGGCTTGAGCGGGGGGTTTTCCTGGCAGATCCCTCGAGGCTTCCATCGAGAAGCTGCGGCTTCCCATCACAGCAGGCCATCGCGCGCGCCTGGCCACAGCACAGACAGACCGGTGCCCGCAGGAGCCGGAAGCTTGTTCCGCCGAGTCCTCCGTCACACTTCCACTCCTCTCAAGGGATGAACGAAGGGGACACTTGCTCTCTCAGGTGAATCGCTGCGGTTTTTCAGGTCGTACGGGTGTTTCAGAGATGTGTTGCAACTTACAAGTATCCGAAACAGCTGACACATGTTTGATTCGTACCGGTAGTGAGAGTTGCAGGAGATTGTCTGGCTCATGAGCGCCCTTGGCATCGTCGCAGAGGACTTCGCCCAAGCCCTTTCGGACCTGCTGACACAGGATGCAAGACTGGAGGCGGGAACAGCCATGACTGGCTCAAGTCTATCAGCCAGACCTTCCCTGCAAGCCTGCAAGGCATGCCTTAACGAGACAGATAAGCGCGGCGAAAAAACCAACCTCGACACGTTGCACCAGTTTACGAGGACCAAACCTGAAAGCCACCAAGCGCCACATGTCATTTCAGCTGCTGGGTCGATTCTGCGATTTGCCTAACTTCTCGCCTTTCGCTCTGCTTGATGGAACTTCGAGTGTTCTGAACTGGGGCCTCCAGGGCATGCAGGTGAGGAGTCTAGTCCTGTCCCAGCCAGGACACTGTGGCAGGGCACGATCGACGCTGCGATGGAGGTGGTCTTCGCCGGTGAGCAGCCTCTGTTTCAGCAAGACATCGGTGCCGTCACCCTCTTCTGCGAGAACGTTCGGCAGGTTTTGACAGAGACAGGCTCATAGAATAGAAGCATGTCCAGTGCTCGCTCCTGTTTCTGCCGCGTGTCTTCCGTGCAGGCTTAGAGGACAACGATGCCAAGGACATGCAAGTTCTCATGGAGCATTCTGGTGAGCTCGTCCTAAACCGGGCTCGCAATGCCAGACTTGTGCAGCCACCCAGCATGGCACACGACGTTCAGTGGTTCCAGAAAACAATGTTCGACCTGTGCAAGGCTGACTCCTACTTGCAATTCTTTGCGGAGAGCCCCAAGATGGAACTTTGCCTTCAGTCCATCTTCAAACTGATCATGAACGGTGGCACACCACTTACTGGAGCATCCTTCTCCAGTAAGCTCCGGAGCGCCCACCAAGATCTCTACCTAACCGATGCGCGATACAGTGCCTTCCTGGCGCAGGTGGACAAAGTGCTCAGAGCGATGTTCCCATGGCCTGTGCATCCTGCCGCAGTCGCGAACAGCAACATTCGATCCCTGGAGGGGTTTCGAACCGAAGTTCTGTGCGGCAGTACTTTGCGAAGCTCTCGGCTGCAGGCTGTCGAAGGTATGCTGAACGCGGGGGCGGATTCCAGCAAACAGAGGGTCGCTAGGAACGCGAGAAAGGGCCGGGTCATGGCTGCTATGCAGCGATGTGCTGGGAAGCTGTTTGGTGCCATAAGCTCGGACTCGCGGGTGTCTGTTTTCTTTCGCAACACTGACCCAGCATGCAAGGACCGTAAAGCCAAGTATCTGGGCTGTGCGATGGGAGGCTCCCTTCCACCAGCTGTCACCCCCAGCCACACTACTCCCGGTCCCACGCCGGGCACGACGAGTCCGAGCTCCATGTCCTCAGCCAGTTCTTTTCCCATGTCTCCCACCTCATCCCTGAAGCAGCAGCACCAGCTGTTCCGCATCTCGGACTACCACTTTGACGTCTTCCTGGACCATGTGCGCACGGCCTTGGGGGGCGAGGATCCCGAGGCTGCGGACCTGGCCCCAGCCCAGCTGGAGAATCTTCGGCAGCACGTCGTCCTGACCTCCCGCCGCGCACAGGCCTGCCCTGTCTCGGGGAACACAGCCTCGAATGGCCGAGCCTGTCCATTCGCTCGCCGGTCCGTAGACGGCAGTGCTCCGCTTTTGGACCGAGTCGGTGGCTCAGAGGAGATCGAAAAGATCCTGGCCCACATGGAGCGGGAGGCCGACTCGTTCTCTAATCACCCTTGTTTTGTTTGTTTTGTGTGACGCAGTGTAGGGTGGCATGTGGATACATGTTGCAGGCCGCTTCCTCGTCCATCTTGGTCCCTTTCCTGCAGAACCAGGACGACTTGCCGTGTCGGCTTGCGATACGGAACCTGCTGGCCGAAGCGGCCGCAGGCGACAAGCTTCCTGAAGTTGATCCGCAGAAGCTGCGAGAGAAACACGCAAGCTTGCAAATGCTGCCTGAGCATCGTGAGAAGTGGCTGAGCTGCTTCAACAAGAGTATGGTGGCACATATTTTGCCGCCAGAAGTGGCGGAGAAGCTGCAGACATGCTTCCAGTCGCTGGTGTCCTCCATGGTGAGTCCCTCCGAAGTGGAGCAGGAGGACGATGCGGAGGAAGATAGGTATGCAGAAGAGAAGTCTGCAGTTGATTGGGGTCGGCTGCAGGGATTGATAGATGAACTCGAGGGCGAAAAAGGCCTGAGCAAATTGATTGAGGCTTGGTACCAGCGAATAAGTGAAGATCCCACCATAAACGTGTTCTTCACCGGCACGAGGCCTCAAGTGATGATGTTCCAAACTCGTTTCTGGAAGAAGGTCCTCCGATCAGGACTCGAACCTGATGGCCGTAGGCAGCTTCAGCTCATCAGCGTCCACCAGCATCTGCGCATCACGCACAACCACTTTGACTCGTTCGTCCGGTGTTTAATGCAGGCTTGCGACCAGCTGAACTTGAGCCAGCCGTCTTCCAACAACATGAGAGCGGCTGTGGAATGTTTCCGGCCGCAGATTGTGTCGGAGAACTGAGGTATAGAAATGCTCGGGGTGCTCAGGGCCTGGACTCTCTAGCTGGTCTGGTGCCCGGAGCATTGATAATGCAAGTCCAGAGGTTAACTCTGATGCCGGGCGTTATGACAAGTTTTTCGTAAGACTCGAGACAGCATCTGCTTAATTTGCTTGTGTCCGTTTGCTGGAGCCATAAGCCCGAGAAGACATTTTGAAAAAGACCTCGTGGTCTCTTGTGCCCCGGTGCCGGCATTGGCATGATCAGTTTCCTGCCTCTGCAGACATGCCATTTCGCAAACAAGGTGAAATCTTTCACCCCCAAGCACAGCTTGCCCGAGTGGGTATGCAAGAAAAGAGTTGAGAGGGTGTTGAGACGTAGATGCACGGTACTGCGGCGAGATACTTGGAGCCACATGAATCTGTAGACCGGAAGTAGAGGTGAAGACAGCGCAGCTTGCAGCACTCCGCGAAGTCTGCCTTGCCCCGAGCAGTGGGTCCCGCCAGCTGCAGTGCTGCGAGTTGGACAGAGTTGACAGAATCCATGCTTGCACTGGCCTGCACGCTGTAGGGGCCCGAGCATGCAAAGACTGCGGCCAGCCCCCGCACAAGGCTGTGGAAGCTTGTTGTTTGGAGGTCAATCGGGATCTAGTTTGCAGCTGAATGCACGCCAGGACTGCACACCCCTGAGAAGGCTCGGGGGAGATGCAGAACATTGGTCATGAGTTGCTCGATAATCAACACATTGCGCAGAGCCGTCTATGCGATTCAGGGCAGGGAGTCCGAGGCATATTCTTAATGTCAGTTTGCCGCAGGTCTCAACAACAAAGAAGCGCCAGAGACTCGCGGAAAGGTGCTTGCATCTTGAAAGCTGAGGAGAAGGCATCGACAAGTAACAGCCCCCAAGGTCCGAGCAGCGGCGTTCACGAAGAGTCCCGTGTCCGCACTTTTGACAGATGCTCAAACAGTACTGGCTTTGACACAACTGCTCCGAGCATGACCATCGAAAGCTGCCATATGAACTCGGCCACCCGCCCACTTCTCGTAGGGCAACTCGGAAATGCCAGCGTGCTGACAAGGAGCCGTTTGCAAAGCAGTCTGCTCCGATAGATTCCCATGTCCGGTGAACCTGTTCTTGCCTTCTTTGAATACTGTGTAACAACTGTGTGCTGTGCCAGATTTTCGCGGGGTCAGTGTTCGTACGGATTTGACAAACAGCCGAAGTTAGAGCAGCAAACTCTGACCCGCTTGTTCAGGAGCCAACCCTTTCCGTCGGGCTCTCGGGTCTTCGCATGTTGCATTGTTCCGGCGCCTCCGACCTCCACCCTTAGCCTTTTGTTGTGCGAGGCTGGTCGTTGCGTCTCTTCTCCCCAGTGAGGGTCTGAGAACAAAGCTTGTCCCGGAAAGCATGGGCGGGCGAGCTTGAGCTTGACTTCGCAGGCCTGCTGCGGACGACGGGAAGGCCCGGTGTGTCACTACGACGTCGTTGTAGCAAGCTCAATCCTGCATAGCGGCGCTGCCCGAGACTTTGGGAACTGCGAAGCCAGGCAACGAGCAGTGTCAAGGAGCTCAAGGCAGTACCGGGACAGATGTGCCAGCAAGAGAGTTGAAAGCGCTGATCCGTGAGTCATGACGTCCAAGCATTGCCACGAGTGCAGAAAGTTTTAGGGCCAGGGTCAACTGGCTGGTTTTGCCGAAAGTGCATCGCAGTTTCTGATGGGCTTCCAGTGAGTGAAGTCTCACGACGAAGAATTTCCAACCTGAGCCACCCATAGAAACCCTAATCCGCCCCGAACACCAGCCCCGACCAAACAATCTCAACCTGAGCTGATATGAAAACCATACGGACATCAGTGTTGCCTCGTGTGCTGAGCAGCGCGCTGCGCTTGCAGTGGCGATCAGCCCAAGCTGAAGCAATCGGTGCTTCTTGGCAGCTAAGGGGTGACAGGGGTGCCTATGAGACCGTAGGGCTTGGACCTGGCCCACCTGGCCCTTCAGAGTCTCTGAGGTGGCCCATGCCGGATTTGATTGAGACACGGGACCAAGAGGCTGGACTGGGCCGTGCAAGCTGTGCGGAAGTATGATGAGCCACATTTGGCAGGAGCTGCATTTGCTTACAGAGTCCTATGAAGGCCGGCGCAGGACAATTGGATTGGCAGCAACTGCAGGAAGTGCATACTTGCCGCTCGAGTGTTACAGTCCCAATACTTGCCACTTGTCCAAGAATAATTTCCGCTCGTTGCGAGCGCATGTGGCAGCCGGCACCGGCTGTCCTGCAAGCTTTTCGAAGCTCACACCATCCGTTCAGGGCCGTCGGCGCGCAGCATGGTGAGGGACAAGCAAGTGCTGCCGAGTTGCAGGTGGGAGTTAGCTTTTCCGTCCGTGCTCGGGCCAGGAGAATTTGTACGGTACTTGTACATGCGATTTGACTTGCTGTTCTCTCTAATGAGTCAGCAGGAAGGTGGCGTACTATGTCGTGGCGCTCGGCATGTTGATCCTGGTGGTAGTGTGCCTTCGGGTGTGGGCGTTTCCCGTGCCTCGGTTGGCGAGTGATTTCAGTTCATTCTTCAGGCCAGTTTGCGATCGCTTCCCTGGGCATCGCTCACGGCCTTCCCTGAGTAGAACTGGGCCAACTGCGCAAACGATTCGTCGAAAGTCAATCTTGTAGTATACTTGTCCCGGTGTAGGTTTCTGTTTGTTGACCATGGACATCCTTCATGTCGTTAGTTGGCACTCGTTTGAAGGGATTTGCGATGTTCGTCGAGCAGAAGTTGCCGGGTGGGACCGTGTGCAGCAGAGGGACTTTGTAAGGCAGACTTGCGAGCGCAGATGCAATCGCCACCCGAGCAGCAGCTCGGCGAGGTTTAGATCTTTAAGCATCAAGATGGTATAGCCTTGTGAGCTACTTGGAGTAGGTCTTGGGAGTGAGCATGTGCAGCAGTTCGACTGGCAAGGGCTTGGAAGACGGGGTGAGGGGTTCCGAATGGCAGACTTCTTGTACCAGGGTCGCTTTCACCGAGCCTTGGCTTCTTGCTCTCCTATCGCAGCTTCGTGGAAAATGCTGCAGAAAAGCTCGTTGGCAAACGTGAGGCAGCTCTTGCTGTCACCGAGGAAGTATGCAATTCCTCCAGTCCCCAACAAAGTGAACGATCACAATGGCGTCGAGTGGCCTCCGATGTGCCTTGATCGCTGTCATGAGCAGATGAACTGGCGCGTGCAATTCTGACTGCCCTGAAGGCTGGGGAATCGGCCCAGGTTTGAGGAGACAGAGGGGAGTTTTCCCCCGCCATTGCTATTTCGGCTGCGTGCCGAAATCCAAGGTTCGTGCATGGAAGCGAGCCGATGCACTTCTTCATCATAGGTGGTGGCCTCAGGGTTCTGCACGGCCCGCTGAACGGGTCCATCAGATGTCGTCCCGCAACATTTTACCCCAGACAATGTACAAAGCCCTACACCATGCACTTGAACTCTTCTCTCATAGCTTCTTCTAAGATGTTTCTGCCACGGCATACTTGCTCAGTCCTTGCCTCAAGCCTCAACAGGTCAAGCAGGAAAGATCACATCACAGAAATTGATGCCCCTGCTGCCACAACCATCTCCTAGTCGTTCTCTTCTTTACCACGGAAGGCGTAATGCAGGTCGGAAAAGTTGGAGGCGACAAAGGCAGTTTGAAGAGGTTGAGGTATGCTTCAGAGAATAGTCTTCAACGGCATGAGGATGAGGTGGATGGGGTGCTCGTCCTCTGCAGAAGTTTAGCATCGAAGATGATAACCTACCGAAGGCGACTGGGGCGGCCTTGATGGATACATCGACCCTCCGGTTGGCGGGAAGACCGCGCCCCAGCGCGGCGTGTTGCTGTTGTTGCTTTCTGTCTTAGCTCCGGCTCCCCATCCCAGCTCGGCTCGGCTGAGCTCGGCAGGATGGTGATGTACGATGGCGGCAATTTGCCTGGGCCGCATGTCTTTGCCCACCGACCCTCCGGCTGCACCGATGGTCAGATGTGACTTGGCTTGAATGGGCTATCGCGGCCGTCCTGCTGATTGATTTTGCCAGGTCGCTCTGCTTCAACAGCCATGGTGCACCCGGCACCTGCATTCCCAGTTGTGGCTACAACGAATCGGTCGACCGCCAGCCCCAGTACTTAGTGGCCAATCAGATGAAGTGTGCAGCCAAGTGTTGTCCGATTGGTCTTTCCGGACGGCTGGACTGCCTGGGCTCGGGACTTGCCCTGCGGCTGAGGCGGCACGCGGCAAAGACCCCTCCGAAGTTCATTCTCAATGTCCCAGCCCCAGAACGCATCCCGTTCTTGCTTCTTGCTGGTCGTGCCAGCTCCTGCCGTTTAATGTCATGATAGCCCCCCTGTCCAATCGTTTATGACTATAGTTCTAGTTGTAGTAGTAATAGTCGTAGTAGTGGTAGTCGTCGTCGTGTCAGCAATCAGTAATAGGGAGGCTGCTGAGGGATACCCTTGCCAGGTTTGCAAAACGGCTCCGTTGATAAGGGTTCATGATCAGGCAGAGGTCTTAAGTTAGCTTGCTGCAATTCTTCATGTCTTCTGGCCAGCGGAATATGTCGATTCTCATCCAGACAAATATAAAAAACCAAAATTTGTGTTTAACCAATTCAAAGTCATACTCTGATATCATCCTTTTATTGAGAGCGCAACACATGGCCGGTCCTTCCAGCCTCTAGCCCGACTCATTGCCACGACATGCCAGGTTGGGGACAACTTCTACTGGGGTGGCATCCCCATCCAATGCGGAGCCCAGCCAATGGCAGGAGTGCACTGGACCACAGCCCATATGTTCCATGGCAGCATCGCGCAAACACTCGCTTGCGAGATCGTCCTCGAACCTGAGCAGCTGCCAAGGTTTGACACCATCTTTAGGCAGGTCTACAACAGCCCCGAGCTCAACAACGTCGTGTGGTTCTCGGTGCTGGGGAACCCTGGACTGAATGGCCTTCCACAGCATGTACCTTCGACAGCCAAGCCAGATTTCTTCTTCTTTGGAGCGCGTGGGAGTCGAAGCCTTGTGTGTTAGTGTGAAGCGTGATTGACTGATTGTCTGCCTGAGTCTCCAGAAAAGCCCCAAGACCCTGCAGATTTCAAATTCATGGGTGGACACAACTGTAACAGTGCGATTGCCGGCAGTCGGTGTCAGGAACCATGACTACGGCGGCTGGCTCTTTACGGCAGGCTGGGATCAGCAGCGCCTCACTCAGCAGGTCTAGCTGCAGACAGAAGCAGAGCAGCGAAGGAAGCTTGTGAGAGTAGTGGGGAAATGATTCGCCGTCGTCGGGATCGTTGCGCCGCTCGACGGGTCTGCGGTCTACGGCAGCTTCCGAGGATTGCCTTCACTTGGCATGACCAGAGGTCTCGGCCTGCGTGTGTTGTGTGACATGTGACACAGACTCTCAGGCGAGGAGGGCCCGCCCTTCCCTTCCCATCAGGTGGAGGCTGCCAGCACAGTACTGGAAGCAGCACGCCCCTTGCACAGGAACTGTGATCTCGTTCTACAAAGGGCGGCAGTCAAACGGTGTATTTCCCGATCATGTCCGACCAGCCGAGGTTGCATTTCCAGAACAGGGTTTCACGATAGACATCTTGCTGACGGATTCAAACGTCGAGGCGCTGCTGCGTGGCGTGCCGATCTTTGCGACGCGTTGCAGTCATTTAATATTGTCCCTGCGTGCAAGCAACGACACGAGGATGCAGTGGACCCGGCAGACAGACCCACGACGAGCCTTGAAATGATGTATCTGCGACAGATGCTGCTGCATGCCTGTGATGTGAATGTCGAGGAACATCTGCGGTTGTCAACACAACTCGCCTGGGTCCAGCTGTGCAAGCGTCGGTGGGCCGGTCTCCATGGCAGATTGCCTGGAGCTCGGCAAAGGCGAGGTTAGCGGGATGCTTCGCCTTTAGGCCTTAGGCTTTAGTCAGGGCCGGAAGTCTCGACTCTCCTCGACTCTCGACACGTCGGAGCCAAGGTCCAATGTACTTCGCCAAGCTGTGGCAGGAACTCTCTGCTGAAGTCTTCAGCCTTTTAGTTGACATCGTCAGTTGTTCAGGAGCAGATCGTTTGGGTCGAGAAACAGCTGAAGGCCTCGCAAGCCACATGGCAAGTGATAGCAGCTTGGCGGCCAATGCCAGCTGTCTTGTTTCGATAGTGTCTGCGGAGTGAAGCTTCTGGGTACTCAGGTTGCTCTCGCACAAGTTAGGTACAGGTATGCGCTGAGCTGGCATGGCTTGTATGATTTCACATTTTAGTGCAGAGTGAAAATAGAAACTTGCGGATCATGGGCAGCATGGGGCATAGGATGCTGTTCTACGAAGAATCAGATTTTTCGGGTGTGCTTCGGAGACGTTAGCGAAGATAAACCGAAAGTCGGGGCTACCTGTACCAGCACGGGAGGAACAGCTTCTCAGGAACTATGAAGTGTGAAGGGACGACATGCTCCACCTACACTCTTCTGATCCATGCTGACCCATTGTTTTCCTAGTTTCGAGGCAATGATGCAGCATGACTTCGCCCCTGCCGAGTCCTAGAGGTACAAATACATGTGCTCTCGGAGCGGTCTTGCCTGCAAGGTTACCCACTTCCCGTGTGGACATCAGGCAAGGCAGCAAGGAACAGTAGTGTGGATGTCGATGATAATGCAGTATGGAAGGCTTCTTGCTTTCATGTTGTATCGGGGCATGGATTAGTGTGCGCCCCCTGCCAGCCTGCGTGGTACAACAGATTGCCGCCTGTCTGATCTAGCCCAGAGTAAATCTTTCGTGTTCGCAAGCCGAGACAGTTTCGCATGTTCTTATCGCAGATAGACGCTTCCGGCAGCAGATGGCTGAGGCATGTTGAATTCGGTTTGGACTTCTTGGTCACAGGGCACACACACATTCAACATACGATTCAGCTCGGAGGCACGGAGACCATGTGCCCGTGTTTGCGCATCAGGGTGCTGGGAGGAACCCTTAGGGTGGCGAGCGTTTCAATTGCCTCGCAGGCTTGCTCTGCGTCATCTCAGGCGCTGGCAGTCACATCAGATCAAGTTCAAGGGTCTGTCTTTTCGGAGATAGTGACAGCTGCTGATGAGACTAGCTGGAAACCTTATCGAGGTTCGGTCGTGGGGCATTTTGCATGCAGCTATTGTCATGACAGGTGTTTCGCATGGGCTGCCCATGTTGTTCTCGTGCTGAGTCTTCTGAGACGGTTTCCAGCAACACCTTACCCGGACAAATAGATCGCACAGAGGGGGCCACAACGCCGCAGACCTGCCCCACCTGAGCAGGGGGCGGCGGGGGCATCTTGTCAGAGTCCGCGTCTCATGGTGATGATAGCAACAGCACCCGGGCTGCACAGAGCCAGGCCCACCCGGTAAGCAGAACCCAATATCCACGCCTGCAGAACCGAGGTTACGGTTTCTACGATGCCACCATCAACAGGACAGTCGATCACAGCGACTTAGGCTTCCTTCATCACACTGGGCGGACCTTCCGCTACCATCACTCCAGGACTCACCTGGTGGTGGAGTCCATCAATTTCGCAGGTGCAGAGCTTACACCGAGAACCATATATATGTATATATATATA